AGTTCAATCATGTGAGAGTAAAAGTTACAGGATAATTGAGTTAACATGTAAGAAGTAGAAAGGTACAGGTAGTATTGAGTTTCAACATGTTAAGAAGAGAAAGTACAGGGTATTTGAGTTCAACATGTAGAAGTAGAAAGTACAAGGTATTGGTTCAACATGTAAGAATTAGAAAGGTACAGGTATTTGTGTCAACATGTAATGAAGTAAAAGTAAAAAGTCGTCAGAAAATTAAATAGTGGAGTAAAGTACTGATACCAGAAATACCGTAACTTAAGTACAGTAACGAAGTATCTTGTACTCCCAACTTCCCACGCTGTCAGATAGGACCAAAAGTGGAGCTCAGCTTCAATCTTTAAATCTTAACACATCCATCACTGAAAAGGGTGCTGTTTCACCTGTTTTTACTCGCCTTGTTTTCCAATGTTAACCAGTGTTTCATCACATGGCTTTTTCATTTCCTCAATATGTTAGAGGTTCGTTACCCACTACTAGGGACTATAATTAAGCAATAGGCTCACGACAGGCCGTGGTATATGCTCATTATATCACAGCTAAGCGGGAGTGGTCGACCGACGCGACTAGCCTGCGCCTATACTCATAAGGTTTACAGTACGTAACCCAGTTATTGTTAGTTGCTGGTATTTAGATTCTGTTTTGCTTTCAGTTGTGCTTGAGTTGATCCTTTTTGTTGAGAGAGAAAGGGTTTTGGTTTAGTTTTTGGCCTTAAAACAGACGTTAAGAACCTGTCTGCCATTGTGTCCAAACTGCAATGTGGTTATTTCTGTAGTGAAGTATACTTCACAGTTGTGCATAAAGATGCACTCAAAATAAAAGATGGTTGCGTTTGATCCAGCTGTTTTTAATTCCACCTTGAACTAGTTTAAATTGACTGTGGCGGCAGAACGAAACGCAGCCAACACACATTTCAATCCGCTAACAGAGGAATACGCCTTCTCCAAAGCACAAAGTAACACCAAGTTTACACAATCTGTTAAATAAATCATTCCGATTGAAGAAACTGTTAATTTAAATTCTGACTTTACCATGAGAGTGACTCCTCTCATCTCCAACGAAGCTCGCTACAGTGGATCAGATGCTCTGCAACACCTCTCAACACACCCACACACACGCACACACACACCACAACACAGCCACACACCACACACACACAGTCGCATCACGATGAGAATAATATTAATTTCCCGATTGTCTAATAAAATGTCATAATTGGGTCAATTAAAACGCAGACTAAACTAACAGTTTGACGCATCATCCAATGGTTGAAGATAAGCATTGACTTAAGCATTGGTTCAGAAATCACTGTTTTATTGTTATGTTATGTTTGAAAATGAAACAACAAATACCACACACCGACGGCTCAGTAGCATCTACTTCTAGTTTAATTTCGAACAGGATCTCCAATATATCTACGCAACAGTAGCACACTGTTCCATGTCACCTTCGTACCTATTAATCTTATAAGGCTGCAAAACACCACAAATCAAAATGCCTCATATTTTCATAAAGAAACCTAAAACCCGATTTTGAAAAGGTTCCAACACAAGATCAACGAAATGCCCACGCGAAGCACACACAAGCACCACACACACATCAACACACATACTTATCGAGCACACACACCAGAGCACACCACACACACACCACACATCACACACACTATCCAATGTACACCGTAACACATCTTTGGACAGACATCCTTATATGTTGACCCACCAGGCACTGCACCGACCATTGGGATGAATGACATGACTCCGGTCCTCCTCGAGTTCTGCTCGTCCTCGCTACTATCGACGTGGGTGCATATATTATTTACCGCTACTACACGCACGGAGAGGATCTGCTCATAGAAGATTTTCGAACGGCAAGTGTGGTCCTAAAAAAGCCTTAGCTGTGCTCTTGTCCCAGTGTAATGTGTGATTGGGTGTTGCTCCGGTGTGGTGGTATTGGTGTGGTGTGTGGTGTGTTGTTGCAAGTGTGTGTGTGAGGGACAGTCCCTGCAGCGTATGTAACGGGTGGATGCGAGGCTGGTAGCTGTTACAGTTGTGCTCCAGACAGTGGTCACCGCGGTTGAGCCTGAAGGAAGAGAATAATGATGCAACCATGAATTGGATTATCACAACAAGATCTTCTTGTGTATCTTGCCTACAGTATAAAATGGATGAATGCATGTTGTTGCAAGCCGAGACATTTGTGATACAAAGTTCTGCGTTGGATTTAATTTGAATAAATGCAATTCGTTTTTAATGTGTGGAAAAGGATCAGAGGCCAAGAACTGTTTGAAACAACAAAGAAGCTTTTCGGTGCTTGTATACTTTTTACTGGAGGCCTACATGCAGCTAGCTGTTACAAAGCTAAGCCTAAGATAGTCAACAAAGATCATATTTTGAAAGCAGTAAAACCAAATAAAGTCCTAGCATTCTTTTTATTCCAAATGTTGTTATTCCTCTCTTGGTCGTAACCTTGCGTGCCCAAATTTCCATATGCCAACTTTTCAAACATCAAATTGTGTCTTGATGATGTGTGGGTTAGGCAAGTAGCAAAAAACATGATCTTGGGCCTGCAGCAGAGATGAGCAGCTGTGTAACATGGTGTGTGTGTGTGTGTGTGTGAGCCGGTTGTGTGGTGTTGTGTGTGGAAGAGTGTGGTGGTGTGGTGTTTGTGTGTGTGCTGTGTGTGTGTGTGTGTGTGCTGTGGGCGGGGGGTGTCGTGTGTGGTGTCGGTTGTGTGTTGTTGGTGAGAGTGGTGTGGGTGTGTGTGGTCGGGGGTGTGTGAGGGTGTGTGGCCGTACCATTAA